TTCGGGGGAAGAGGGAGAGTAGTATCCATATTGAGTAATTGTGGAGGGGGAGGAGGAGCAGGAGGAGGAGAGGAGAGAGGAGGAGGAGGAGGAGGAGGAGGAGGAGAGAGGAGACGGAGAAGGAGGAGGAGGAGGAGGAGGAGGAGACGGAGGAGGAGGAGGAGGAGACGGAGGAGGAGGAGGAGGAAACCACGGCGCATAATGGGGGGAGCAAAAGAATGCGGGCAAGTATTTTTGCCTTGCGTGTCGCTCCGCCAGTTTTACCCCACCGCGCTTCAGCGCGACACGCTAACCAGCCGCTTCCCGAGCCCCGGGCGTCAACCCCCCGTGTCCTTTCCAGCCTCCCGCCCCGTGGAGCAAGGCGACACGCCATCCGCGTTCAGGGCATAGCTCGCCGCGACACGCTAAACGACACTATCCGACGGGCAGCATGCTGCATTGCGTGTTCGGCGGGTCTCGTTTGTCCAGTCAAATTGGCTGGTCCTTAATATGATAACCGTCTCGGGTTCGACGTGGATTCGACGCGGACTCGACGTGGTTTCGACGCCGCGGATGCGACGTGTATTCGTGGATTGCACGTGGACTCGCCGCGAACATCGTCGAGATTGGACAGGCAAGGCCCCCTGCATGTGCAACATAGGGTGGGGGAACGGGGGACGCTGCAACCCTTCGGTCCGCCAAGAGGACGGCGTCACGATCCGCCACGACCGGCCAGTCTCCGAGAGGTGGCCCTCCATGCTCCTACTTCCCCCCAACCCCCAATCCAGCTATCCTCCCTTTTCCCTTCCTCTCACATTTGTCGCCCCGTCTCCTTCCTCCTCTTCCTCGCCCTCCTCCACCGCCTCCTCCGCCTTCCCCTCCCCACATTCCCTTTTTTCCCATCATTCCCCCTTTCTGTCTGACCCCTTCTCGCTGCACCTCTCCACCTCATACCTGTCCTTCCTCCCGCATCTTCCCTTCCTCGTCCCTCTTTCCTTTCCTCCCGCCTTCTCAAAATTTCATCTTCAGCCCCTAGCTCATCCCTCCCCCTCCTCCGTCCGCCATCGAATCTCGAATTCCATCCACCCCCTCCAGGCTTCCCGGGTCCCCATGGCCCTCGTGCTGCATCAAGAGCAGGAGGCTCCTCGAAGAGCCTTGCCCGGTGGCCGGGGGCAGGTATGCGCCTGGCGGATGGCGGGCAAGGGAGCCTGCGCCCACCCCCCGCCCCCCGCTCCTTGGCAAGCGTAGGCTCGACGCCCTTTTGCTCAGCATCGCCGAACCGATCCCCATCTCCACTGGGCCGCGGCCTCTCAGCCCCACCACAGCTCTGCTGCGCGACACCCTCTCGCGCCGTCGTGGCCTGGCCCTTCTTCCGCCCCCACCGCTGCCAGCGGCGACGGGCAAGCGCGGGCAATACCCCACAGCCCCGCCGCGCGGGCGCGCCGCCGTGCGCTGACTTCTGCCCGCCCCCCGCGCTGCAGCGACGGCGGCGCGGGGCCCAGCCATGCCGCCGCATGGGCCCGCACCCCCGCCAGCTCTGCTGCATGGCCCGCGGCCTCGGCGGTCGCGGGCCTCCCTGCGGCACCGCCCGGCGCAGCGTGGCGCCCCGGTGCGCGACCGCGCCGGGGAGGAGGAAGAGATACCCAGATTTCGTAATAAAAGGAAGGGCGTCACAACCCTCCCAGACGAGAAGTTTTAGACCCCCCAGACTATCCATCAAAGGGGGGCCCTTTGCCCAGACCCCCCCCGAACCCTCCAAGACAGCTCAAATTAGACCCCCCCCCCCCGAATGTGAACCCCCAACTTTGTTATGGAATCCGGAGTACCGATCACCGCTGCTCGTCCTGTGGAGCCCTCGTCGCCGCGGCTGGTCGAAGCTCAGGTCGTCGCGCAGCCCGAGAGAGGTCCGGCCGCCGAGGGCGCTGGGAGGAAGGGCGAGGCGCGGAGTCCTCGGAGGGCGCCCGGCGCGCACGGAAGCGTGCCGGGGCCATTCGAGGGGGCGCCCGGTGCCTGCCGGGGTGGCCGCAGATCTCACGGTGCTCGCGGCAGGCGTGCGATTCGCGAGGCCTCGCCTGGCGAGGACGCGCCTGCGCCGAGGCGGAGCGCCGAGGACGCGGGGGGGGGGCCCTCCGCTCGCACAAGAGGAGGGAGCCCCGTGAACGCCACACTTCGGAGGTCCACGCGGATCCCTTTGCTGATCTGCGCTGGCCCTGCGCCCCCCGTCCCGCCTTGGCGGCGCCTCTGGCGCCGCCCATGGCGCGGCCCGCTGGAGAGGCCCTGGCGGGCCGGCCGCCGCCGTCGCGGGGCGACGCCCATCTGCTCAAGAGGGCGTGGGGAGCGGCCGCGGACCGCGGCAGCAGGGTGCGCGGCCAGGGCGCCCCCGCCGAAGGCAGAGGCGAAGGGGGCCCTCCTCGGCGGCCGCCTGCGCCGCCCGTGCCCGGCTGCTGGCAAGAGAGGGCATCTGGCGCCCGCGCGCACACGCCAGTTATTCCTCCTCCTCCTCCTCCTCCTCCTCCTCCTC